CTCAGCTGGATAAAGAACAAAGCACTCTCCATCCTGTGACTGAAATGACTAAAGATCTGCTAAAGAACATTACTGACATTTTGTCGATACTTAAGGAAGTTAAAAAAGTAAGAAGCAGCTTTTTATAACTTCTCAAAAGTATTGGACTTTGCATTAAAGTTTACTGTTTAAATTGCAGGAATTTGAGAAGCGAGCAGCTCAGTTGGATGGTGCCAAGCTGGAACACTTTCAGCAGTTAAACAACAGTTTAATAATAGCAGAGGTGGAAGCTATAGCCCAGGCAGAGGAGCATGCAAAGGAGCTCAAAAGAGTGGTGACAGAATTACAACAGTGAGTGTGAATCCCAAGAACAAATAAAGAAGCAAGGCAGATTTAGATTAGATTGGGCCCCGTTTCTTGTTTAACATAATAGACCATCTTGGATTTTGTTACAGAGCGCTTCATACCGCTACTAACAGCACTTCACTGGTCAGCCTCCTGGGTATAGGGGCCTATGACAGCATCATTAAGGCAGTAGAAATGGCTGAGAAGGCAGCAAAGGAGTCCAAAAGGGCTGCTGATCAAACCTTAAAGGTAACTTCAGTGCTGTTAGTAAGAGTTATTAAAAAATCTACGTGTTTATAGAAAATATTAATGCAATATTTGAATGATAAATTAGGATGTGAAGAAGGGAGGTCTGATCAGCAGGTCTGAACAGCTGAAAGATAACTCAAGTCATCTATGGAGGGAAACCAGAGACACTCAAAGTCACCTTAAAAGTATGTAAAAACAAAACAAGTATCAAGACAAATATATTGAGTTTGAATGTGCAAAATGAAAAGGTGTTCTAATTTCTTTTGAACAGCGGTGTCACGTACAGTAAATGCTCACAGGAATCGTGTAAATAAACAAAAGAAAAAAAGAAGATCACTGAGAATCGACACCTCATCCATCGGTGACAAACTCAAAGAGATCAAAAGAGGTTTGTAGAGCACTTGGAATTGATGCAGATCAGAAAATAAACGTCAAATTAGTTATTGTATCTGCATATGATAGTTTTTCTTTTGTATTTCAGATGACACAGCGGCACTGATAGTGTCTGTGAAAACTGCTGCTTCCGATGCTAACGCTACAGTCAGCAGTGTGAAAGAGAGACTGAGAAATATCAGCGAGGAAGTGGGAAGAATAACTTTAACCAATATCAGTGTGAATATAAATGACATGTTGACAGATGCAGACCAGGCTGGTAAGTGTTTAAATTCCTTAAACATATTCTTGCAGTTAAAATACAGCCATTTAAAGGTTTTATGTGTTGTTATTTTATCCGCTTAAGTAAAAAGCTTCAACAAAGCATTCCCTGTGATGAGTGACAAGCTCGCAGAAGTCAAGGCTCTTGGTAGGAGGATGTCACCTCACCCAAACATGACAGAAAGCATCCAGAGAATCAAGGACATAATAGAGGAGACAAGAAACTTTGTTAATAGGGTAACATTTTCTTTTTAATTTCATATTTCCTATTAATTTCTTAATTGACTTGTCAGATTTGATTTAAAGCTGGAACAGCCTCACAGCGTATGACAGTACAGTGTGCATATGAAATGTGTAGCTTGCAGACTGAACCTTATGAAGCTGTCGGCTGTGTCTGCAGTTTTCCTCAGCTTCATGGTTCTTTGCAGGTATCTTCAAGTTTTCAAGAGAAATTAGCACTGCTAAAATGTAAAAATTCACAGTATTGCATTGCTTCCATTAATAAATGCAATACAAGAAAATCAAATAACTCAGAAAGGCCAAACAAATACACAAAAGTGAAATAAAAAAACAAATTAAAAAAATTCACACTTGAACAAAAACTAAAAAAACTTTAAAATAATAAAAATGAATACAAAAAATAAATAAATAAAATCATGTCACAAAAAATTGCACTAAATTAAATGCTTGACTCCAAGACATTAAAAGACCACGTGGCAACAGAAAAATGAACAACAGGTGGTACATATGCTGGGGCGAGTGATTAACTAGTTGAATAAAAGTGGCACAGAAAATAGAGGGAAGCAGGATGTTATTAACGATCACAAAGAAAATATTATTCAATAAAACAGGAAGTAACTCAAACAGGAGTATTAACAATACGAGCAAAAACAATAATACAAACTTTTAATCTAATTACAAGATATTTATTTTTTTTAATAAATATCTTTTTTAATGATTGTTAATGTAAAGTGTTACCTGCTATTACTGAGACAGATATTTTATTATGTTTGCAATTTACTTTTCAATTCAAGGGACGTTCATTTATTTCACACATTAAAGCACAGCAGACCCTGGCAAAAGTGCTGCACAACAATCGATACAACAATTAGGAAAACATAATAATATGATGAAAGGTTATTAAAGGTTAATAAACTAAACAAGAGGTTTGACTTTCATTATTAAAAGAAGCTAGCTATAGTGACAGATTTAATCTGTCTTTAATTTCAGAGAGGAATCACAATTTACACCAGGTTTCTTTACATGACATTAAGGTATGAAGCCTGAGACAGAATAGGGCCTTTAATCGACCCCTGTGGTACGCCACGGGTCAAAGTGGACGCTTTAGAACAAATCCTACTGGAAAAAGAACCGTTAATCAGATATGACTTTAATCAGTTTGGAGCAGTGCCATTGATATCACTACACTGCTGAAGATAGGAAATTAATATTTCATGATTCACTGTATCAAATGCAACAGTAAGATCAAGTAATATAAGAACAGATGAGTGATCAGCATTGACAATATAGAAGAGTCATTATAAACTCTCAAAAGTACTAATATATTGCTTAAGGCTGTTTCAAATGAACACATTATATATTAAGTGCTATGCAAGCACTATCCAAAGAGAATTCATTTGGCCTTGGAGTGTGCAGATTATCTTCAGTATTTCCCTTGTTTTTGGTGAAAGGAGGACAGAGCATGATAGCTGGATTGTATTTTGGCTTGATTCATAGATAAAGCTGAAAGTATTTCCCCCCTGATCAGGAGTAACAAGGCTGCCAGCTATGGGAAACTAAATTTTTGCACAGCCCAGACTGACATCTGTTGTCTGGAGGATCAACCAGGTTACAGGGTCAGCTACATGCGACTGCTCTCAGGAAGTTTTAGATAATCTGCTGAACACAATACGGCCTTAAATGCTGGTGCTGAGTCAAAAAGCTAATATACTTGGTTACTTTTTTCTTTTGCTGAGTCTGACCTTTCAGAAATAAACAGACTTTACCAGCTAGAATTACTAATTGGATGGTGACATTACAATTATTTACATGTGGGAAGCTGCTTCATTTAGTAACTCTGATGCAAACATTCACATCAGAAATACCAAAAAACCCCAGAAATTCTGCTTGAGTTGGTGGAGCAAAAATAGAACTCAAAGTAGTGCAACCTTGTTTCCATTACCCCTAATTTGTAAAAATAAAATAATAAATGTATGAATACAATAGTTTATTTTTTAAAAACACATAAATCATCTGTTTTTGTGACACACACAATTTCTACCGTCTCTTATCACAGCTCTCTCTTGGCACCACTTTCAATGGAAAGAGCCACATTGAGCTTCACCCTCCAAGAGACCTTGAGGACATTAAAGCGTTTACAGCTGTCAATCTTCTCCTCAATCGGCATCACAAAACCCCGGCTAAGTCTGATGTGAGACGAAAACGACACCAGGATGAACACAGAGATGGCAACCTGTTCGTTTTCTACCTGGGCAGCAAGAATGTGAGCGTGCATACCGGCCTACACAGGAAGCATGATGTAGTTTTTTGTTTTTTTCTTTAATATACCCTAGGTTTCTTTTATTACATTTCTAGGCTTCTGGAGACTACATTGGAATGGCTATCAGAAACACTGTGTTGGTTTGTGTCTACAAGTTGGGTGGAGTGGTTCATGAGATAGAAACCAGCCAAATAACACTCGGAAGCGTGAACTCCTCAGCCGTTGACAGAGTTATCTTCCACAGGTACTGAGTACATATGGTAGAAGTGTATTTTAAAATGAACATGGATTTGCTAGCTGAAAGTTTACATGATGTCACCAACATGTTTCTTATCTTCGTGCCAACAATTCCTGCAGGGTTTACCAGGACGCTGAAGTGAACGTCACAAAGAACTTCACGTCAAAGGAGCGTGTCAGTCTCCCTCCTAAACGTAACCTCCCAAACACAATGACAGGCGTCTTCGACTTGGATCCAGGCAGCGTCGTTTTCTACGTGGGGGGCTATCCCGATTACTTCACTGTAATAAGTCTCTGCTTTCATTTCATCCTGCCTGCAAATTTATAGTGTTTAAAGGGGTAGAGAGTTGAAAGACGACTCAAAGCCAATTCAAACTCATTTAATAAGCTTGTGTAAAATTGTAAACGTTGCAATAGCAATGATAACTTTTGTATAACACACAAGCAAGCACACAGAAAGTTTAGACACTGTGTCTTTCATTTGTTTAGCCAACGATAATGGGTTTTAAATAAAGGAAAAGCTAACATATAAAAACTAGTTTCCAGCACACACAGCTTCAGTTGACTTGATGGGTGGAAGAAGTAAAGAAAAAAGTACGGAAAAAGGTTTATTGTATTGTTTATTGTCAAGATTTTGACTCATGGGGTAACTCAACGTATTGCATGATTTTCTAAGTTTTCTTTGAAAACTATTTGGAATTTATTTGATGCTGAAAGAAGTGTTTTGATGGAAGCCATGATCTCCCAATTTTGATATGGATTTGATTTTATATATTATATCACTGTTTTATAGTATATATGACAATATTTGTTTTGTGGGAATAGGGTTCCATAGACTGCATGAATGACATACAACAGTCTTATTCAGAGACTGAAATTGAACAATTTAGTGAGAAAGGTACTTTTTGTGAAGAAGTTGAAATACAAAGTCCCTATCACAGTCTGTCATCATCCTTTTGTGGGAATGGGTTAATGAAAAATAGCTTAGAGCTTCTGAGCCCTAGAGAACAGGAGTGTACTCAACAAAATCATTTGCATTAGTAAATGACATGTTCACTTTTTCAGTCCAATTTTCAGTCCTCTTTTGTTCTCATAGCCTCCAGTGGAGCTGCGTTACCCCAAGTACAGAGGAGCCATAAAACTCTCCTATCTGAATGATAATCCTGTCTGCCTTTTTAACTTCAAACATGCTGTCAATATGGATGCAAAACAGCACACTGTGAAGTAAGCATAAAACAAAAAATTAAAAATAAAGGTCGGACATTGTGTTGACTAGAAAAGGTCAAATAATGATTAAAGTATGTGTTTAGGATTGCACAGGAAGAGGTGTCTGATTATTATGAAGGAAGAGGTTACCGCATGGCGTTCATAAAGGATCCTGACTGGAAAAAGAGGCGACTGTTCAGATTTCACACAAACAGCCGAGAAACAAATGCCTTGTTATTCTACATTGGAAACAACGTAGGATTTTAATTTTTGAATAGATGCTTGAAGCACTTATATAACTGCATGTTTAACAAAAAAACAAACAAAAAAAGATTTAAAATCCATGTGTTTCTTCTGTTTTAGGAGTCCTTTTTCTGTGTGTTTGTGGAGAGAGGCTTCCTTGTGCTACAAGGTCAACAAGCTGACAGAGAGATTAGACTTCGGAGTGCTGAAAGAGTGTCTCTGTTTGTAAGAACAACAATACAATTAGTTACCTTAAAAAACTTGAAAGTCTTTTTGTTAAATTCATGCCTTTCTAAGCATATGCTTCCTGTTTCAGGACACGCAGTTTGCAATTGCCATTGCAGATAAATTAATTGTGTACTATGGGCAAAATACGGTCTCCACAGATCACATTCAAACAGACTACATCAGTTATTACATTGGGGGTCTTCCAGCAGAGCTCAGAGAGAGGTAATGCAACACACGATGCTTTTAAAATCATGTCAAACTCAGCTTCCTCTGGGAGGGAAACAAATAATTCCCTACTGAAAGACTTACAAAAAAATCAAACCACTCCCATGACCATTACTATATGACATATAAATGCCAGTGCCAATGTGTGTGTTGAGTAGTCTAGAAGAAAACAGTATCAGCTAATCAAACTGACCTTTTCTATGAGCCTGTCTGCCTTTGAATCTCAGACACAACATCACAGCTGCGCCGCTCAGGGGATGCGTGGATAACCTGAAAGCAGATGCTGAGATTGTCGAGTACAACAGGACAATAGGTGTCAGCAGTGGATGTCCAGTCTCCTCACTGGTAATTTACCGCAAATATGTTCACAAATCTGCATTAAAATTTCTCTCAGATGATCAGAGGATAGACTTTTTGAAACTTTTTTTTTTTTAAATAAAAGATGGACTTAACTGCAGAGTCTGAGTAGTGAAGCCAGTGCAGAAGGGCACGGCACCTGCCTGGTTTCTAATGCACAGCAGGGGGGTAATTCTCCTTAGTCAGACTTTAAAAAAGTTTATGAGAAATTGTACCTACTTCTCACTTCATTTTAGCTCTTCAAGAACTTGTTGTTTTGATAACTTTGTGTCTTATATAATAACGCAGAGTGTTCCTTTTTAAAATTATGGCCCAATTAAGTATCTAAGTATGAGAATTGATGCCTGTGCAGCGGTGCTTCGAATGTGCCTAGTTTCTAATGCACAGCAGGAGGAAAACTCCTCGTTAGTGTGTTTGTACCTGCTCGTACAAATGTACTTACTTCTCACTTTTAGATCTCAGTACCCCATCAAATTGTTGCCTTATTAACTTTGTGTCTTATGTAACATAGCAGCGTGTTCTTTTTGAAAATTATGGCCCCCATTAAGTGTAAAATAGATGTTTAATTGAGGCGCTTCACGGCAAGGTACCTTGTGATTGACAAACCCCTTATCTCAGTTTTCCAGTCAGAGACACCCCTCACTTAACAAATCCATGAACCATGATGAACCAATCGTCATTGTGAAGAATAATCATGAAGTCAGTAGCATGATGTGGCCAATATTAGCTATCACACCTACCTGGAAATAACAGGGGGAAAAAGACTGTAGCAGCATTTTGTTTCTTACATTCATATTAAAATAATATAACTGTCACGGACTTAAATTAGTTGCCAGTGGTTACTCATTAAGGATATAGCAGTGTATTCAACTTCAACAATAGTGCGCTTTATTACTTAAAAAGTTAACTTTTCATTTGTAGGTGGAAAAATGTGACATTTCCTATTTCAAAAGTCAATCTCTGTCTAGCTTTAAAGCACTAAATGAATAGCCTGTAGACACAGGGGTCTAATACTAGTGTGTTTCTGGCTTGTGTATAGGGTGTTCGTGCAGCTACATTGAATTCGGCTCTTTCTGTCGATTCTCTGTTTGCCTGGGACGAACAGCCAGTGAGAGTCTCGTTAGGCTTCAGGAGCACAGGCAAGCGGGGCGTTGTTCTGAAGAGCGGCTCTCAGGTAAATCTTGTGTGCCACACTTTTTGATTCAAAAGAAAATCAAAAGGAAAATATCAAGATGGCTTTAGTAGTACTCTTACTGCAGGGCTCCGAACCTGTCCACAATCTCCAGTTGTCCCTGGACGATGGCTTTGTGGTTTTTCATAGTTTTAATTATACCCTGAGGTCAAATGAAAGGTACAATGATGGAGTCTGGCATTACGTGTCTGCAGTGGGGAAGCCATCAGGGTAAGATCTGTCAGCTTTTTGCTGATACCTGGATTTTATTGCAATTAAAATTTAAAGTCAGCACGTCGCTAATGTTGTCGTGATTTTCTCAGGCTGCTGCTTAGCATTGACAATGTAAATGTGAGTCCGGCACATTCAGATCAAATCAGCATGCAAAGAGGAAAATTCAAAGGCTGCATTGCTAATCTTTATACAAGCAGGTTTGTTATACATTCTTTCAGTTGCTTTATAATATATCTCACAATATATATATATATATATATATATATATGTTTATTACAATAACATGATTCAATTTTGATGAAACAAAATCTCCTCATTTCACACAGGCCGAGTATTTTACCTGCTGATCTAAGCTCATTATCGCAAACTGGAGACATTATCTTTGGTCAGTGCAGTCAGCCTCCCCCACCGCACTCCACAATGAAAAGGCCCCAGACGCACAACCTTGTAAGCACATCAAACTATTATTTTTTTCAGCTCCCCTATTGCTGGATAATGACATAGTAACAGCAGTCATTTTTCTGCTGTGTGTCAGATTACGACTCCAGCTGGCAGTCAATGTAGACCCCAGAGAGCATACCAACTCTATGAGAAAGACAGCTGGGTCAGTTACAACCTCCCACAAGAAAACCTTAATTATAGGTAAAATACTAAAACCTGAAAATTATAATGGCATTTTCCATGACTGGTTTGGTTTGGTAACCTTTAGAGTGCCTCGTCAAACCTTTATCCAGCTGTGAATTCATTCATAAACATTTAAAGGGACTTTGTTCTTGTTCTCATGTGTCTCAGGCCTCACTTCTCTCTTGATATCAATACCAAATCGTCCAAAGGGCTCATCCTCCATGTCGCAGGAAGAGGAGCCGTCCCCCTCCTGGCTCTGTACATGGCCAACGGCAAGATCAAGATGTCACTTGGTCAAAACAGAATCATCCAGCACAAGGAGAAGAGCAATGATGGCAACTGGCATAGAGTTTGTAACCAAGTCTCATTACAAATATTAAGTGATAAAAGCAGCAAAGCTCTAAACATTGGTCTCCTGATTTCAAAGGAACAGTTGCAGATATATGGGAATTTCGGTTGCTTATCTCACATAGATTTTATCAGCAGTAGGATAAAACTAGAAAACTAGAAAACCAGCAAAATGCAAGTCAGACTAATCGGATTGAACAAAGAAGCAAAAGAAACACAGGAAAAAGGCAAACACTAAGAAACATGAGGGAGGAGACGATATCTCTAAAGAGGAGATCAATGGAACAAAAAAAGGTAACCAAAACTAAAAGAATAAACAAAATAAATTAAAAAAATAAAATAATAAAGAAAAACAATAATTAATATTACTACTGTTGGCAGCTGGGCAGCAGGTATCTTTCATTAGAGCAAACAAATATAACCTTTACAGCAGCACCAATTAAGCTTTGATTGGATGACAAAATTAACAACAACAAAAACCAATTTGTTTTTTGTTGTTCCCAAGTGTCTCACAGGCAGAGAAAATATATATGTTATTCTTCTCAAAAAGTAAATGTATTTATTTCCCTAAACAACGGGCAGTGCCAAAATGAAGCGTTAAGGATTTAAATGGTGCAGAAAAGAAAATTATTGATATCAGAAAGCTTCCAATGGGAATTCAAACACCGCTAACAAGAAATATATATACAAAATATATATAATACATTAAAAAAATAATGACATAGTGGGCAATTACATAATGGAACTGATTTTTGAAAGTTTGTTGGAGCATAAATGGAAAGCAGGAGGAACAACTAATTTCTAAATCACTTTTATCATAAACAATCAGGACATAACTCTTAATATGCAGGGGAAAAAATGCAGTAATTATTTTCTCATATCTGTGTGTCATATCACAATCATATCACAGTGATGGTGAAGTTATATTCTGTGGATGGCTGAGTTTGTTTGCGTGTGCGCAGGTTGAGTTCAGCGTGGAGAACAGCACTTTTCATCTTCTGGTTGATGGGATCCGTGTGACTGATGGCCGCTTACCAAATAATGAGGGATCATCTTTAGACCTGCACAACCCTGTGTATCTGGGAGCTGGTACAAAAAGCAAAAACACTAAAGTCTGTATCAGACTCAAGCTATGGCAAATATTTTCCCACATCTTTTTGTTTGCACACTGACCAGCTTCTCTTTTCTCTTCCTGTCCTTTATCAGGGACACAACATCCCCACAGACAGCGTTATCAGCTGTATAAGGGAATTCAAAATGAATGATGTATTTGTTGGTGCAGCTGAGGTGAGCCACAAAGCCTTACCATGCTTTCATGGGCTTGCAGAGGAAGGGACATACTTTGGTGGCGGTCACATCGTCTTAGGTTTGGCCTTGTATTTCAAAAATCTTGATGCTGCTGATGTGTTTCAATCATCCGCACACTCATAAAGAACATTTCTATTCTAGATAACTACTTCACCGTTGGCTCGCACTTTTTGTTGTCCTTCAAGCTGCGCCCTCAACACCTCACGGGTCTTCTCTTCCACGTTCAAAGTGATAAGACCAGCCTTAATGTGTTCTTAATGGAAAACAAGGTAAAACCTCTCGCTCTTGTGACAACTAATTGGGCAGCAATTCAAAAGAAAAGCTGCATGAGATGACAAAATATGTTATGTTTTACCAGGTGGGCGTCAAAGCAAATGATGGTAATGGAGCTGTTAGTGTCTCAGTAACACCTCGTAAAAGCCTCTGTGATGGAAAATTTCACGAGGTTACAGGTAGGACATCGTGTATTAAAAACATTCAAGAACGTGAGTCACATGTTGATAGTTGTGCTTTTAAAATTCTTCTGTTATTGTTGTTTCTCAGTCTCCAAAAAAAGGAACGCATTCCAACTAGTGGTTGACTCCGTGTCCAAGGAGAAAGCAGGCCCCAAATCCACGTCATATTCAACGGCCCTGGAATCGCTTCACATTGGGGGTAAATCCATGAACCGCTGGGCATTATATCTTTCAGAGAGTTTCAGCTTTTTGTCGTATAATCTGATCAGAATCTCTTTGTGCTTTTTCCTTTCCTGAATTAGGGACAACAAATCAAAATGGAGCCCCTGTGCCTTCACCTTTTGTGGGCTGCTTGCGAAATGTGAAGCTTAATGGAAAGCCGGTTGCATTTGAGAAAGCCTCCAGAGTGGTCGGTCCAGTGAGCATCAACAGATGCCCCGCAAACTAATGAAATACATCATTACAAACAGGGATGGGAATAGTAAACCTAGTTAGGCTGAAATCAAGCAACACTTTTTCCAATCTAACGGAATTGTATTTCTCTAAGCTTCAGTTCCTTTTTTCCACCACGGGAATGTTTTCCTGATATTTGCTCATTACAAAGCAATGACGCCAAACTCATGATAGCGAGTTGTAAATCACCTGCAAGCTTATTTTCTACTCTCCCTACACTGTTCCAGACTCATTGATATTAAAATAGTCGCCCTGAAGCTGAAAACCTGTTACGGTCTACTTTTATTTCCCCACAGAACACTGATAAGGTGAGAAAACTGATAGAGACTCAGTTCAATGCAGCCACAACAGCAAAATTTGCCATAAATTTAGCAGTGGATTTTAAACAAATCCAATCCCATCTATTAGCTGCGCTAATCACCCTGCCTCGCAGCAAGAAGGTCTTGCGTTTGAATCCCGAGACTCTGTGGCTGTTCCCCATGGAGTGTGCATGCTCTCCCCATGTCTGTGTGGGTTCTCACCAGGTACTTTGGCTTCCTCACACATTCCAAAGGCATCCATGTTATGTTAATTGGTCATTCTAAATTGGCTGCAGGCGTGAGTGTGAATGGATGTTTATCTATCTGTGTTAGCTCTGTGATCTGTCCACAGTGCAACACACCTCTCACCCAATGACACCTGCGATAAGCTCCGGCATTACCATGACCCTGACTTCCATACACTGGAGAAAATAGATGAATGAATTTTAAACATCTGATATATTTATCTGTCGCAATATCAGTCGCTTAACATTAACACAAAACCTTATTAATCAGTATAGCAATAGACAGGATCCATAAGAAACAGCATCAGTTCATTCCCGTGTTTAAAATTAAGGTAAATATTACATACATACGCACCTTACTCATATTAATAGCCTTAATTCTGCCCTACGTTTGACCAATAGATGGAGTGCTTCCCTTCATGTAATGCGAGCTGTTAGTTCACATTTACTCTCAGCTGGTGATGGCAGCAAAACATTACCAAGAACTTGAAGGTGTCAAGGTTCAAGTGAATGACATGGATGGATTTCCCCCCCACAAATTGCTTTTTATTTTCTGTCTGTAGCAGTAGTGGTAGTTAGCACACACAGGCTTGAAGACTGTATTCTGCCCTGTAATTCAAGTGCAGTGTAAAGCTGCTCAAGTCATATGAAATGAAGTTTGTCTTTTTTTGTTTAATTTTATTTTTGCCCTTTGATATATACAGTTCACAAACATAGAGAGTGGGTAACTAAGTACAGAAGAAAATATATAGTTATTATAGTGTAGTTATACTTTTATTACGAAAAATATGAATAAGATCACTTTAAATGTCTAATAATCTGCTCTACGTTTAAAATAAGTGAGATGTCATAAAAAGTAATAACAATAAATGTACAGCAGATTATTTTAAATGATACTAAACACTGCAGTCAATTACAATAATGTGTAACAGATATAAATATAAATGTAAGTATATTCTGATATATTTGCAGTTCATCAATATGCATGTGAAACTTTACTTTAAATGGTTGGCTAATTAGAAGTGACTCATAGAGGTCATTAAATGAGTGACAGAATATTTTAAATGTCTAAGAAATAGTCATAAATTATTCTAAATGTGCAATATGTAAATTACTACACATCCAAGCGGGCTGCATTAAATTACTAATCAATTAGGGTTACAAATAGATTATTATATAGGCAACAGATGACTTTTAACAAATAACAGTTCATTGTGAATTAGTATAGTACAGTTCTAGTATTGGGACCCACCCAGTTTGCGTTGTCAGTGGTTATTTTGCCCCTTAAAGTTGCTGGATGTCATCAAATTGCTACGGTTTATGGGGTGGCTGTAGGTCAGGAGGTTGAGCAGGTCATCTGCTAATTGGAAGATTGCAGTTTGATCCCTGGCTGCTCCAGTCAAATATCCTTGGCGTTAGCCCGCATCCATCAGAGTATGAATGTGTGTGAATCTTAGATAGAAAGCACTTAAGCATAGAAAAAGTGCTTGAGTGAATCAGAGGAGAAACGTGCTATATAAGAACAAGTCTGTTTACTATTTACTGATAGTTGCTTCCTGTGTGAATGGTCCTTAAGCTCTGCTAATGTGGAAATGCCAAAATATGCCTAATGGTCACTTGGCTGCCTCCAAAAAAGAGAAAGTGAGTCACACCCAATAAACTGTTACAACAGCTATAAACATGTTTACAGACTTGTAGAAAAGACAGTTCTATCCTCAACATTTAATTTCCCCTTAAAGTAACCGTATGGGGGCACGATTTATTAAATATCCATCTATTCAGATTCTGTTGAGGCCTAGCATTAGATTCATGTGTTCACTTTATTTACAGGTGGCTGTGGACCATCACTGTAGAAAACTTCATCTCTGCTCAAGTTGAAACACTGAACTGGACTGCACTGTATTTGTGGCCCATCCCCCCCAAAATCTTAATTTTTGCTGAGTAAAATTATTTTCTTTTTGTTTTTTTTAATGTTAGTCTCTTTTCTGTGCTCAGTCAGTTGCTCAATAAGCTTGCATGACTTAGCTGATAACTTACCACTTCGCCCTCATGTCTAAATATGGATATTCTGGCTCAAAACGCAATCACAGTGGCCAAACTGCCATCACTGAGGCTTTGCTCGTGGTTTATATCAATCTATGTCTTCAGCAGTCAGAAAAATATAAAAACAAATAATAAAAAAAATCATATTAGTCAGTTCTTAATGTATCTTTATAAGGTTGAGACTAATACAGAAAATTTACAGTGGGTTTTGTTCTGTAATCTTTTTTCCTTCACAAAGCAAAATACAGGAGAAAATAATCACAATCCACATTAGACGAGTAGTGGGTTTTTGAGTGCAATGCAAGTCCAGAGAAAATGTAAATAACATGATGAGGTCACTGACGGCTGGATTTATGGAAAGTATATACAGATATACAACTGGAGACAAAACACTATTATGAATATTTAAAAGAAGACAGGTGGACAGTAAAAATCACAAACCCTATCCACTGTGCTAAAAGTCCATTTTAAAGAAAAACCTCTTTAAGTCAATGCAAATGCTATACTGTCAAACATTTTCTGCACAGCTTCACCTCCATAAAGTAGATTAAGGCCACACTGTTTAAGTACACTTTTTTCATATTGCTTGGTCTTGTAATTTTCCAATAAAAACAGTTCATGCTTTGTGCAGAGAAAGTCCTTTAATAAATGTCCGGCATCTGGCTGTAGGCCCTGTTCCAGTATCCACCACAGAAGAGCCAGTCCTGGGAACTGGTGTGGGGATTTTGCCCCTGTTGAAACCACCTAAAAAACACATCACAGAAATATCAGCATTCATAGATCCCAGCAGGGCGAGCCAAAACTGAATACAAACAAGAGAAAGTGAGAAAGAAATGTATGATTCGGAGGGAAGATGGGGTGATTGAGTAATTGCATTTGGTGCCATTAAGAGAAGCTGCCATGCTGGTGGAAGGAAAAGCGCATTTATTAAATTTGTCTCTATCATATCTGGATAGAAAACACACAGTGGATAGATAATAGATAATTTAGAGACTCAGATGTGTTAAGGTCACGTGATCACATCAAACATTTCAGATGCAAACAGCGAACAGCTCTAACCTCGGGCCAAGGGCAGGGCTTCTTAACGTCAAAGCGAGGATGCAGCAGAAAAAAAAAGACCATTGAAGATAAAATGGAGATACAACTTGAGCTTTTTCAGCACACAAAGTATGACACCATATAGATAAGAACTGTTAATTCATTCATACGCCATGAAAACTTCATATGAGGTAATAGAAAGGCAATGGTATTTTATCTGCACTAACAAAGGCTGATGGTTTAATATTGCCTGGAATTAGTCAGTCCTGCATGGTTTCATGTTTACTGCGTCAAAGTATAAAGAAAGAAGAACAGTCTCACCTCGCCTTCCACTCTTCATCCGCTTTGGAGCGGTTTTTCCGAGCAGCTCGCTGTTTTTCCTCGAGTCGCTTCTTCTCCTCGCTGGCGAGATCTATCAAAATATTTGACATTTTTTAAGGAAGCAAATGAAAATTTCCCTCCAGTTTCAGTTTAGGTTAAGTACCACCAATCATTACCGATGTCACCGTTCTCCATGGCTCGTATGTCCGGTCTGAGCCTGCAGTCAGTCTGAGGGATGACTCCCTCCATCTCCTTATGCAACTCATTCAGCTGCATCGCAAAGCATGTGAAGTTGTACATCTGCAATTAAAGATTGCATTTGTACGTTAAAACATTGGATTTCTTCTAAGAGTACCTAATAAAGATCTAATGGTGCATTAATCAGCAGGACCTGGACAGAGTTAGCTGGTCTGGGTGCTATTTTCCACAGCAGCTGGCTGCCAGGAACAACCTCCACAGTGTCTGCAGGTGGTGAAGGAACCTCCTCCTGATCCTCAGCGCAACCCTGAACAGCACGAGAAACACAAATAATGCTGAACAGACAGATGAGCTCCAGCCAAGATGCATCATTACAGAACGTGTTAAATATGAACACTAATGATCTCGGTCGCTTTCCATTTCTACCACTGGATGATATTACTCATGCAAACATCACAACAGTAAAGTGAAGGGATTCCACAGTGTTCAGTAATTCATACCGCATTCCCGCCCTTCTTGTCCTCTGCCCCTTTTTTGTTGTTTTTCTTGTGTGCTTCAAAGGCAGATGGGTCAACAACATAGAGGCACTCTGTCCACTTCCCATAAAGAGCACACAGCTTCTTTTTGCTGTCAAACACACACACAGACTTCAGAGGAGTTGTTGTAATTTCGTGAATACGTACTCTAACCTTAACCATAACCACACAAACACACACGAATGTCCCGAGGCACAAACACTAGTAATGATTTCAGTTGTAATGATTTTTTTTCCCATTCTGTTTTTAGTGTCAACATAACAAAAGCTCAAAAAAAGAGAGAAAAAACCCACACAACATTTTTGCGAGTGGGAGACTTCTGGAAATGTAATGTTTTGAATGAAACCAAAAATCTAGTTTTTGGCCTGGACATCACGTTGAGATAAAAAAAACAACAAGAAAAAACACAAGCTCTTCTCATCTTCTTGCTTGTTAGCATCTGTTATTGCTGCACATTATTTATCAGCATATAAAGCTGGTCTGGCTCTTGTGATCATGAACACTAGTTATGTTTACGATGACTCACTGGATTTGCTTATCCTCCATCTTTAATCGAACTGCCCCCGTTTTTGTTTTTACCGTTTGCTGATTTTAACCGCCTCTCCCACACTCGAGTATTTTGACTTTTATTTTGTCAAAAAGGCAATTAACACTGCAATGAGTTATTAACCATATGAATTGTTAAGTGATTATTTGCACAATGATTCAATTTTAAAATAGGTTGATACTACATTTTGTAGATCCTAATTTAGAAATGAAGCACCTTTAAACAGCTGCTTATTCAGACATATCCACCCAAACATATGGGGAGGGGTGGATGAGGGAAAAATTGATAGTATAGGCAGATAAATAAGCTATCTGACACTCACTGTCATTCCATGTAATATGGAAGAAAACTAATGCTTCACAGTGTCCTATGGTATGTTTCAATGTGTGATGTAGATTCAGACTTAAAGGTTAAAGAGAAGGCATTTTCTCCCACTCTCACATCACTATTTTATTCAACATTCAAGACTGAAATCCGTCTTCTCTGCAAAGACGGCTCATTATTTAAAGACATCTCTGAACATCTTGCTCTACCTTTTATCCAGAATATATCCTTCAACTTTGTGTAGCTCTTTTCCAAAAAGGCCACATGGTTTGAAGTTCAAGTAGCACCTTTCACCAGTTCTAAGTGAAAAGAGAAACAGGATGAGTCACACAAGACTTCCTCATTTGCTCTGTCTGTTTTCTTCAAGAGCAACACTTCCCCAAAATATTTTATCAGTTGTATCACACTTTTTCTTTAGCCGTAATTTGAAACACATGATACTTAGATATTAGGTCAGTGCTACGTGTTCCTTTTCATGGCTGCATGCATTGTGTTATAATGGAAGCATGAATAAAAGGAACACGTTATTAAGTAGCGTAGCTTAGCTGGCTAATGTAAGAAGTGTTTGATGTGAAACATCATGGCTTCAGGCCACTTTATTTTCTTTACTTGCCTTTATCTAAGAAAGAAAAACCTCTGTTATAAAGTCCCATGAAAACTAATGACAGCATTTTAAATCTTGTAACACAAACGTCAGACTGCTCTTAACAATACAACATAAAACACAGTTTTTTTGTTTGGTTGGCTAAGCATTGTTTCAATTTAACTTTACTGCATGTGCCAGTGATAACAATGGTTTCATTTTGTTTTTCATGAAATAATGTAATAAAGACCAAAGGCTGCTTCCTATTTGATTATCGCACATTAAAACATGTTTAAAATGCAAATGCAGACATTATAACACTGTGAATCACATTTCACTTTATTTCTTTGCCTTATTTTAATTAAGACATTTTAATGCTTCAATAATTCTCAACAAGTACTTTATGTACAAGCATTTTACATGCTGATCCTCTTACCTGTGGTTGACCACCTCCACATTTCCATACTGTTCAATCCACAGCTGACCAACAATGATATTGTGAACACAACATGTGGGATTTGTCCATGTGTAGGCTTCATTGTGCCTGGAGGGAAAAAAAACAAAACAGTTTGGCACAATGTGCACTTTCAAAATGGTAATAGAAAAGGCGATAGGCGAATTGGTAAAAGGATAAATATTGATACAGGTAATATGTCCTTTTTAAAAACAGCTAGCAGCTCTTACTTGGGCAGCTCCAGTGTGATTGTGCCTTTCGGCTCAGCTTCCACACTCTTGCCCCAGAACTTGAGTTTGGGATAAATAGAGCCATGAAAAACAAAGTCCTGCTTCAAGCCCTCAGCATGGAAGGCGCTGACCGGAGGGTGATGGCTCACCTGCTCTGAGATGAGCCTGAAGCCCAGATCCTCCCTGAAATAACCAGGGACACAGCTATGATGAATTGAGGCATTTGAAGACAGCTGTGTATGTTTGGTAAGCTGCACAGCAGAATTTAAGAATTTGTTGCTAGACAAAATACACTCAGTGGCCACTTTATTAGGCACACCTGCTCAACCACTTGTTAGCACAAATATGTAATCAGTCAATCACACTGAAGCAACTCTGTGCATTTAGGCGCACGTGACCTGCTGAACTTCAACATGGCATGATCGTGGGTGCCAGATGGGACTGTCTGACTGTGTCGCAGAAACTGCTCATCTACTGGGATTTTTTTGGCCCAAAACAGAGAAAACATCCAGTTAGCATTAGCTCTCTGAATGCACAACATGTTGAACATTGAAGCAAATGGGTTACAACAGCAAAAGACCACACCAGATACCACTCCTGCCAACTAAGTTTAAAATTCCCACAGCCAAAATTGGACAATACATGAATGAAAAAATATTGTTTGGTCTGATGAGTTTCCATCTCAGCTGTGACATTTGGATAGTAGGGTCAGAATTTCGTGTAAACAACACGAAAGAATGGATTCATCCTGCATTGTATCAACAATTCAGGCTGCTAGTGCTGGTGTAATGGTGTGGCAGATATTTTTTTGGCACACTTTGAACA